TTAATTCTCAACAATAGGAATCAATGTATAAAGAGAGCATGGAAAATCTATATGGACAGAATAGGAAAAGAATGTGGTCAATGTTGATAGTGTCAAAACTATAGCTAGAGGTATAGTTATTGGGCTACTAAGAATTATAAATAGAAAAACAAAATTAAGAAGAAAAAAAACTAGGAAATGAGTAAGGAGGGCAGAAAAGGTAAAAATTACTACTTTTCATCAGAAGTACTTTACTTCAGAACATTATTTTTAGTAAAAATATGTTTTTTTAATTTTTAAGGAAGACATTCCAGTGACAAATGCTACCAAAGATCAAGTAAGAAAGAGCTAGATTTGGCCTACGTGATCACGGGTGACCAAGCAAAGGACCATTTCCATGTAACACTGTAATGGAGACCAGAGAACAGTGAACTGGGGGATGAATGGGAAATGGCCCAGCAGAACTTTAAGGATGAAAAGGGAAGAGGAGAAAGATTGCTAATAAGAGGGATTCAAAGTAAAGAGAAGGTGTTGCTGTGTTTATTTATAGGGAAGAGACTTCAGTAAATTTTTAATTTGATTGCGGTAAAGAGATGAAGACCGGTGATGAAATCCAGAGTACAGGGTGAAGAATCAAACCCAGACAAGGAGGGTATCTATTCTTCTGAAATAAAAAGAAACAATGTAGGGGTAGACTCAGACCGAGATGAGGAGGCAGAAAACTGGTGCGATCTAGCTAATGGCAGGATCACAGAGAGCTTTTGACCCTTAATGTGACCAAAGCAATAGGAACAGCCTACAGAAACGGTCATTTCAGACAGCAGAACAAAAACTAACAAGGACTTACTCTTAGGGGAATGGACTAAAGTGGAGGCCTAACTGCATGGTTGAAAGCACATTTGAGAATCATTTTATGTTACCTTATCTGTTGGTGGTTGAATTATTCTTCATGAGAATCTTTTAATATAACCAAGTATCTAAATCTAGAAGAGTATCTTTAGAGAATGACCAAGCAAAATGAAGTTTTACTCATTTAAAAAAAAAAATTTGCTACTCCTGGGAGGCTGAGGCAAAAGAATCGCCTAAGCCCAAGAGCTGGAGGTTGCTGTGAGCTGTGTGACGCCAGGGCACTGTACAGAGAGGGTGACAAAATGAGACTCTGTCTCTAAAAAAAAAAAAAAAAAAGTTTTACTCATTTATACAAGGCCTTAGAGCAAGTTAATGTCAAGGTAACAACAACAAGAGAGCTGTTGTACCTTCTCACGTTATGGCCTTGGATGAAAGGGACTCGAGCTCATCAACACTTCTAAATATATAATAACAGAAATCTATTTCAATCAACCAGCACTCATTGATATCACACACACACCACACACACACACACACACACACACACACGCGCGCGATTCTCACAATCCTGATGACCCTGCTTTACACACATTGAATAAAGAGACCTTAAGTATCTTGCCTAAAGCACATGAGCCATGTGAAGCTCTGAGTCAAAACCTAATTTGAGATGTATTTTGACCATTCTTAGTCCACTACAAGTTCATTTGGAGAACAACCAAACAGGAGAATTTTGAAAACACAAAAATTAGCTAAGATTTAATTAAGCTGATCTAAACCTGGGTATTAATGTTAAAATGTATGTGCCAAAATCAATGCTTTAAATTTTGGGAAAATTCCAATTGCATTATGAATTAAAACCACTCTATTTAGGATAATTCTAAAACTATTTTTTTATCTGTGTTCTTTCTCCTTTTAACCAATCTAATTAATAGAGTAGGTTGTTATTTGGCAACTAAGTATTACAAATAGAAATGTTACGTTTATGACAAATTTTAGAAATGTACTTTGAGTAACTAGTTCTTTTCAAATGGATATACAAATTATCAGATAAATTGGTGGTTTTAAACTGTGGGTGCCTTGGCATAATTTATGCTGTTTATATTTCTGTTAATAACCTTCCATCCTTAAAAAAATAATAATAATAAACAAATAACCTTCCATCCTAAAGCAACTCTGCCTCTGGGCATTTATGCTGAAGAACCAGTGCCATGCCAGGCTTGCCCTGAGTGACTAAAGCATGCAGATAGATTTTAATAAAATGAAGGCATGTTTCTCCTCCAAAGATTTGATTTTTAAATTAAATTATAACTAAAGCCATAATTTTGAGACTGCAAAATTAGATAACTTCATTAAAAACAAAACCATAGCAGAGAATGTTTTAAAGCCAATGAACCAAATTTTAAAAGTCCTGGGAATAAAAACTAAAGCTGTGATGACTACAGATATACATGGGTTATGTATGAGGTAGCTCCAGCTTGGGAACATCAGAGAATCAGGAAAAAATGGGCAGTGAGCTTAAAAAGAAGTATTTACTGAGCAGGTTCCACTGTGCGTCCTGGATTACTGGAACGTGATCTAGTCAGGCTCTAGTTTGACCACAGTTGTTTACAACCTTTGGCAATTTGAAACTGTGATTTCAACAATGCCATCAACTGACTAAAAAGTTCTGAGTGATGCAATCACAGTGATTTACCACCTCATACTAATGTGTTTCTAGGTTACCTTGCACATAACTGAAATAGTGAATGTATGGTTTTGGTCTCATGCTGTATTAAACATTACAAAGCAGGATTTTAGCCTTAAAATAAAACTTTATGTTCATTATTTCATTTACACCTAAATGAAAACCACTTTGTTTTCTGAGTCTACAATCAGTGCCATTCTCCTACTCCTGGTGCTTGGCACCCCTTACCCACTGATCTTACCCGGGCCTTTAATTGCCTTCCTTTCATCACTGCCTCTTTCTGTACCCTTTGACGCACGTTTCCGGCTAACACTGCTATGATTCCCTTCTATGCCGGTTCACCCTCCTCCAGGTGATGATCTGCTCACATTACTGTGATCCACACTCATCTCCACTTCCCCCTCTTTAAGAGTTACCAATGACCTTAGTCTCATTCAAATCTAAGCTCTTAGAAGGAAGTTTCACTGCACCTGAACTTTCCACTTCCTACTAGGTTCTACTCTCTTAATACCCACTTGCCTCTTCTTCTTTCCCCTATATTTTCCGCAGTTTTCTGCTGCTTAAATTGTCTCTATGACAGACTACTCTTCTACTCCCATTTTTTCACTTAAAAATTTAGGTTTTTAAGAAATTTACCTATATACAACCCATTTTTTATATTTTCTAATTTATTTATTCACTGCATCACCAAGGAAACCAAAATTAAGTATAATGAATAATCTTGTCAACCAAAAAGTTTAGAGCAAATACACATAAAAATGAATAAAAGAAAAAACCCAAATAAATGTTCACTCTGTTTCTTATCTAGCTTAAGCCTTAGGATCCAGGGACTTTGCATCAAATTTAATTCTTTCTATGCATAATCAGAAGCATCCATCACTACCAATAGAGTCACAAAGTGGTACACAGAGAAAAAAAGGAAGTATATGTATAATCCATGCACACACATATTAAAATTTCACATTGGCCAAGAGTTTTCCCTCATAAAAGTAAACAACTCTTCTTATGGTGCATGGCACATAAATGGGTTTGTTCCCAAGTGAATGATTTATTAGGGGCTTTATACAGCTAAAAATCAAAACTTTAGAACCTAAACTTTGTTTTTCAAAATGGATCTTAGGTTACAAAACTGAACATTCCACAAGAATAAATGAAGAAAGCCAATCCAGTCTTGAGTTTGGGATTAATCATCAGACTGTGCTTGAATGGTAAACACCAGCAGCGGCAGACTGTGGGTACTGTAACAGAGAGCAGTACACAGAGTGTGAGGACAGAGACCGGGAAAAGGGGGGAAAATGAAAATAAAACCAGAAGAGTCCTTTATCAACCAATGATGACATGTGCCAAGATCTGAGAGAAACAATCAACTCAACTCTTTGCAGCTGAGTGCAAAACCAAGCCAAACAGTGGGAACTCAAGGGAAGCAATAGATTATGTCTTCACCTAAATCCCTGAGAAACAATCAAAATATTTCTGATATACAAGAACAACGTGTCACAATTATTGGTCTTTGGGATCAAAACAAAATGAAAAGACTTATACCAGACTAACAAAACTTTATGTTGGAGAGAGTTACAATTGGCATAATAGAAAAAACACCTGTGTAAAAGTCTTCTGCTATAATGTCTTATTATTGCAGACATTCATGTAGATAACAACTAATCAAATCACTGATGACCCAGAAGGCATAAATCAGTGGGGTCTGACCTCAATTATTTCCCTGATCTCTTTTCTCCAATAAAAGGAAATTATATAATTTTATACAAACAAAAATTTAGAATAAAAAGAAATACCATACCCTCTCTTTTGAGTCAAATTTTAATTTTCCTTTTGTTCGTAGGTAGTATTGCCCTTTAAAATGATCCTTTCCACCAGCTCTGCTATACAGAAGTGAAAACTTTACATATTAAAAATAAGTATCAGTTCACATTAATGTACTAACAGAAATCAGAGCATGCTTATTATGAATAAAGGATAGGTATCAATACTCTAATGTTGTTTTATCCTCCTTACCAAAAGATTTCTGTGCTCTCCTTAGTAGCGAAAGATATATTGGAAGAGTCAGAAGTCAAAAATGGAAAACATAAGACCCATACATAGAGATTACCTTGAACTGATGCAAATTATACTGGCTTCTAACCAATCATACACTGACTTGTGTTTGGCACATCGTTTTAAATCCTTCTTTTCCTCAGAACTACAGGTTCCAATGCCAGCAGAGATGATTTACACTCGCCTTCAGAGACTGATCAGTTATGAAACACCACACAGCGTACCGTAGAGGTTGAGAAGCTGTGAAAACTGATACTTATTCTTAAAGTAAGAACATTATGCTTTTAAGAAACAAACTAATACTTAGTTGTTCTCTAAGTCATCTTGATTTTCCAGGCACAATCACTGTTTAGTCACATCCGGAGCAGCAACTACTGAACAGGCAGAGTCCTGCATGGTCACCCCACTAACTGCTTGGTCTCTTCACTCCTCTTACCTGATAATGAGCCTGGGCTTGCTGTGCTGAGTTCAAAGTGACATTGCAGAGTTTGCAGTACAGGGGCTTACATAGCTCCTCCAGGGCAGAGTCCTGCTCCACTCCCTTAGGTAACTCTTCTTCCCCTGCCAGAGGCAAGGAAGCGTCCTGCCCAAAAGGCTTCTGTGGTGGAAGCTGCAAGGATCCTGTAGACCTGGTGGCCACTGACATAGGAGGAGAGGATGAGGGCCGCTTAGGCGGAGGAAGCCCTGTGTGTTGCAAGAGGATCATCAGGCAGGAAAACCTTGGGCATAATCCAATGGGTGATGAGAAGCTGGGTCTTCAACTCTGAATCAACAGCAAGAAAAAGAAAAGCACTCATTTAAAACTGGGACCTCAGCAGTACCACACATAAAAGACGTCATACGACCTTTTGCTCCACTTCTCCAATCCCATCCTTGGGACTTCTTTCCTTTTACCTCATCTAGCAGACTTCCCCTGTGTTAATTCATATTGACACAATGCTCTTCCACTGAGAATGGCTTTATAGATTTGGCTTTATTTTGTTTGGCACAACTCCAACTGCCATCCCTCTGGCCCATGAACATTAATAGCATTGCAACCCTGACTAATTAAATCTAAAAGTCACATGGCTGAAATGGACATCAAAGGTCACCTAATCCAGACCCTTTCCCCGAGGCACACTTAGATACTCTGACGATAACCACTCATAGGCGAAAACACCACCAGCTATGAATCTTAGCAATTATCTCTTCTCCATCCTAAAAAAAAGTGTGGGGGGAGGGAAGAGTATCACCTCTCAGAATACTTAAGCACCTAAGCACTCAGAACTAGCTAAAATATCAAGAAACCCTAGTAATAACGCACAGAGTGTGACAGAAATAAATAAAAGTGTTCCTTCTGATTCAACTAGCAATATTAAAGTGGTAGCCAACGATTCCTTACAGAAATTGCAAACAGATGAACTGTGGGCCACATACAGCCACAGATGTGCTGCTTGTAATATACAATGTTTTGTTTTCATTAGTTGTCAACATTTAAAAATCAAGAGATTTGTGGCATCTTTTGATGAAAGGATGAACTGGCAACACTTGGCCCACACTCCTACCTGGGAAACAATAGCTAGTGCTCAGAAGCACTGCCTTCCCCAGGCCACCTCAGTCACCAGTCAGCTGTTGCCTGTACAGTCACCAGTACTTCTGTTACTTGTGACTCCCTGTGAGCTCTTAAGATTATGACCTCACCTCATACAGCCTTAGACCCGCGGTTCTCAACCTGTGGGTTGCAACGCACAGGAACTGTATTAAAGGGCTGTGGCATTAGTTAGGTTGAGAACCACTGCCTTAGACAATACTGACAAATCTCCTATAAAATCAAAATTACTTTCTCTCCTTTTAAAGGTAAATCATCTGCACAAAATAAAATATCAAGTAAATGTCCAACATACAATGGATCACATTATCATAAGCCCTACTATAATTCGATTTCCTCAGTCTTAGAGCCATTTCTTCCCCCCTTTTTTAATTAAATAATGGTCTCTATTCTATTTCCCTCAGGAAAGACCCAATTTGTTACAAGCTCTCTTCAGTCTTTACCAATGATTCCTTCTGCCTCCTACCCAGACAGCATCTTCTAACCTTGAGTATCTCAAAATGAACCACGGCACACCATTGAGTTCCCAAGATTCTAATTAACCTAAATTAGAATCCTCATTGCAAAATCTACAACTCCCTCTACTCTCTCAATACAGTACTATTAAAACCTCTTCTCTTGGTCAATAGAATATTACTATTTTAAGCTGCTGAAATTTTCCATCAGCAATGGAAATGTGTACATTATGGCAAGAATAGATTTACTAAAATGAATCATGTAAATTTTGAAAGTACAAAGTCTATCCCGTGTGATAACTACACAGCACCTGAAAAATACTATCAAGTAACAACTTTTATACTAGATTCGATTTCCAGAGACAGCAGGGGAAATCAGTCTGATGGAGAAATAATATAGTTAAGGGCAAAGTGCATACATTATTAGTCCCAGTATTTAACAATACTTCTACTTAATCAGGCTATTTAGAAAAACAATAAAAATATTTGACTCTTAAGCAGATGTCATATCTCCATATCTCTGGGAACATAAAGAAACACAATATAGATTTGGAACAGTTAAAAAGTCAAGTTCTCAAACTATGGTATTATTTCTTTCAATTAAATCAAGGTACAGACAACCAGAAAGCAAACACAGACACAGATACAGACATTTAAAGAAGAGAGACCATGGAGACAAAGACTAGCTCTTTACGAAGTTTAACCACCTAAGTGTAGTAATTCAGTGTTAAAAGTCCACATATGCTACCTGTACAGAGTGATACTGACGCCAAATTGCCACACACATGCTGCCGGTTCATAAGAGAAAAGGTAGAGGAGCATGTGAAAACATCTGGATAAAGGAAATCAGCATTACGAACCGAAAATCAAATGCTACCAAGTGCCTAGACATGCCCGGACTTGTTTTTTGAAAGCTCACTCCCACTTGAGGAAACTCATGGGTCTCCCCCAGAGTTATTGTGGGTATCCATCAAAATAAAGGCCTTTCTCAAAGCACAGAGGTACAAAAGGCCAGAGGTGACAACATGCCCTGATTTAAAGAAAAAAATCTTGCCAAACACAGACATATCCATTATCATGTTCTATGTTTATAATTTTTAGAGAATAGCTAGATATTCCAAATTTATTTCTTCTATCATATTTAACAATCAATACAGTAATGTCAAGTCCCAGAAAAATATCTATGCATGGCAATTACATCGTGTATTAATATCTTTGTAAACAAAAATTAACATAAAACATAAATCTGAAAATGAAACCAAGCTTTTGGTTAATGCATGAATGATGAAATATAGAAACTCAAAGCATACGCAACTCAGACCTGTTCAACTCCTACATTAGTTTAAAAGGGACTCATTTGAAGACTGATGTAAATATTCCTCAGATTGTAAAAACTACTCAATTGGATGCTTGCGGTGGCATTAATGATTTATGACCGTTAATGTCCTGGTTTAGAGAGGGGTTGAAAGGACATTTAAGGAAACTCAAAGCTTCACAATGTACCCTATTTAGAGAAAATGAATTATCATAGCACACTTAGTTTTCATGACTGAACTGGGGCCTACTAGTCACATACTCCATAAAGACAATCTCTTTTTGATTTAAGAGACTAGAATGAAGAAACAGGTTACTGGCACCTCAGCAAACTAGGGAAGTCTGTAATTGGTAATTCTGGAAATGAGAAAAGATAGCAAGCATTACTCAGAGGTCATCAGAACGCAACAAGGAATGAGAAGAGATAAAAATTACAAAAAATTATACTCAGCGGAGGCAAGGTATATCATATAAGGCTGGAAAAGAACGCAAGAAACTGGAGAAGAGGCCTTGGTACATCAGCGAATGTTCTCCAGTCTGCACTGTGACGCTTCCCCAGCCTAGGGACCCGTTTACATTTTTGAATCAAAGCTACAGATACTTCACCATCGCCCACGTAGATCTTGCATTCCTAAGATGTGCATGCACGCACATGAACTAACGCACACAAACACGCACACACCTCACCCCGGCCAGGATGCCATCACGAAACATGGAATCCCCGACTCCCACGGGGCGGGGGCTCGCCGGGAGCCCAGGCGGCTGCCCGCACGGCCGGCGCAGCCGGTACACGTGAAATGCTTCACGCCACCAAACAGGTAAATAAGAGCAGCGCCAGCCCAGTCACGTGGAGGGCGGTGGGGAGACCGCACCAGAGAGGAGCCGCCAGTCCCCGGCGCCCCGGGGCTCGTCCTGAACGCCCCGGGCGCCCCGCAGCCCGCACCTACCGGAACCCCGGGACGCGCCGGCAGCCGCGGCGCCCGCTGCCCGGGACGCCCGCCCCGCGCGCCCGGCTCGGCCCGGCTCCCCTCCGCCTCGCCTCACAGCAACTTTCTCCGCCGGCCGCCGCCGAGTCCCTCCACGGCTGAAGGCTGACTGTCAAAAGTCAGTCCCAGCCGCCCCACAGGCAAACAGCTGCAGGAAGTGACTGCGGAACCGGGAGGCGGCGGAGGAGGAGACTGAGGGCGCCGGCTCGGCGTCGCCACTGCGCATGTGCCTGGCCGAGCAGGCCCGGCGGCGGCTCCCGCGTCCCTGCCGGCCGGCTGCGCGCGGGTCAGGTGCCTGGACCGCCGGCGCCGGGCGCGGGGCGCCGGGCTGGGCCGCTGCCGCACACAAAGGCGCGCGTCGGGGCGAGCGTGTCCCGCCGCCCGTCTCCTCGGGCGTCTCCTGACAGCTCTGCCTCGGATACCCTGGAAAGTTGACCTGTAGCTGAGGTTTTGCAACTTTCATCTCCTACCCTTGAGGTCCAGACATTTGTCATGCCAGCCCCTCCCTCAGCCTGCTGGTCGCCGTCTAAGGCGCGGGACTGGAGCTGCCAAAATGTCCAGGACCCTTTAAATGACTGCGACTGAGTCTTTAAACTGCCCCTCTCTCCTCAATGGAGAACAAGAGTGTGGCTGCCTGCTCCGTGGCCTCCCATCACACAGGAACAACCCCACCCGTACACACACACACCTCTGTCCCCTGCACTCCATTAGAGTGAGAGAGAAATAAAGGAGAATTTCTCCTGACCTCCAGAGACTCAGCCTGCAAGACAGGAAGGACCAGCAAGAGATTGGCCAACGCTAGGATGTCACATCCTCCCTAGCCAAAATGGACATCTTCAGGGTTGACGTTGAGAGAGGAGCTGAGGAAATTCCAGATCTAAAAGTCTAGTTAGTAAATTCAACCTTATGAAGATTCGCTGATTATTTGTGTTTGTGTGTGTGGTAACCTATATACTTTAGGTATATAAAAATTTGTTTACCTATAACAGATTCACTATTTTAAGAACATAGTTCAGTAGTGTTAAGTACATTCACTTTGTTGTGTGTTAATTTTTTAAATCATTAATTAAAATGTCAAGGAGGTCTAAGTATAGTAACATATGCCCTAAAATAGAAAACTACTGAAGGAAATTAAAGCTGGATTTTTTTGGCAAAAACATGCACCATCCAATACCACCAACAAGCCAGAAATGATTGCATAACTACAATGATTGTTCAGCAAATATATATACACAGCTAGTATACACTGGCCATCTGGGGAGCGTAATCCATTATCTGAATTGTTTTCCAACTCTATATACATATACTTCGTCAAAATTTTCTATGCTACATTGTTTTTAAAATAATAAATACTACTGAAATCCATTCTCCAATCCTTTTTCTATTCAGTTGTAGAACTACCCAGTTCATATGCTTTAGCTAGGACCACAGCTAGGCCTTGGCTAGCCTTTCCAGACTGACCTCCTGCCAATCTCCTCACCTTTACTCAAACTTCCATCCACACCATTACCTTCCTACCTCTGTGATTTAACTCCATCTGCATTTTGAATAAAAAGATCTTTCTCCCCTCTCCATGCACATCCAAATCTTACCTATCCTTCCAGGCCTCATCTTCCATGACCCCCCGCCATAACATTTCTTTTGTGCACCTTGATAACATCTTTAATTGTGTGTTATCTCCTCTTATAATTACTTAAAGCGATGCTTAATCTATCCCATAAACTCCTGGAGTGTAGGAAAGACATGTGTCTTAGAGACTGCAAATCTTATATTTCAGTTTTATGCATTCTTGTATGTCACAATAAAAACCTGAATAATTGGCCAGGCAAGGTGGCTCACGCCTGTAATCGTAGCACTCCAGGAGGCCAGGGCAGGTGGATTTCCTGAGCTCACAGGTTGGAGACCAGCCTGACCCAGAATGAGAACTTGTCTCTAAAAATAGCTGAGTGCTGTCTCAGGCACCTGTAGTCCCAGCTACTCTGGAAGCTGAGACAAGAGAATTGCTTGAGCCCAAGTGTTTGAGGTTGCTATGAGCTCTGACACCACAGCATTCTGCCAAGGGCAACAAAGTGAGGCTGTCTCAAAAAATAAAAAATAAAAACATGAAAAATTCCATGTCCTCTGTGCCTGGTCTTACACTCTTCTTAGACAGCTAGGGCATTTCCTTCCCTGCCTCAGGAGGAAAGAAAGTAATACTCAAAATGACACAGAAAATAGTCTCACGAATCAGAGCTTTGGGTTTGGAATAGCTAGAATTCATGAGGTGCAGCTCCTGAAGAGCCAAAATAAAAATAGATCAGAAATAATTTGCCAATTTTGCTGTCAAAAACAAACCAAAAATCCCCCAAATCTCAAAGGCCTGTGGCCACAAAGGTTTGTCTCTTTCTTGAATTACATGCTGTGTGTCAGCGGAGGTTCTGTTTCTTGGCTCTTCTCTTTCCCGCACCCAGGCTAATGGAGCAGCCCCTATGTGGGACCTGGCAATTCTCACGGCAAACGGGAAGATCCAGAGAGCTGCCAGAAACTTGCAAAGCCTCTAAAACTGATTCTCCAAGATATCATGATGTGTCCATTCAAATCCCATTGGCCAACGCCTTTGGTATCTCCCAAATCAATGGAGAAGAAGTCAATTGCATCTATAGGCCAATCACATGGCAATGGTCATGGATTATAATCTTTTAGTGGAGAGGACAGCTGTGGTTAACTGTAAACAGTAATACAATCAATTTGCCACAAACTAAGAGAACAAGTCTCCTCACCTCAAAAATGTTGGCGTATATATCCAAGAAAGGCCTGTGCCACTCCTACCTCCACCCCCAGTGCCTGGGATTAGTTTGAAAGAAGCTGTGGATATAGAAATAATAGAACTCCCAGATGCATTTGAAGATCTAAAAATCAAGGACGTCTGTTATTTATTCCCAAAGGAGATCGAAACAGCAACCAAGACTTCTCCTCAATGAGCCAACAGAGAGTGAGATGTCAGCATAAAGTGTTTGGGCATGAAGAGCCAGAGGAATGCCCCTAAACCTGTTCTGTTTTAAAGTATTTATGGTATTTAAAACCATTCAAAGGAGCTGAGGGAGGGCTGTAATAAGTTGAAGAGCCTTCAAGTAAGAAAGAGGAAGGACAGAACTGAAAGCACAGATCAGATATCTGAAATCAATGGAAAAGTGGACATCAATTTCTGAGGTCAAAGCCAAGGTGTGTTTGTACCTATCAACCAGATACCTTTCCTTGCCACCTGGCACCCCCACGCCTCCCCCTCAAATGTTAAGACTACCCTCAGGAAATCAGGGGGCGGGAAGGAGACGATTTTGATTGCATTTTAGCCAAAAATGACTTGAGGACAAGAGGTATCTGTGGGTTATGGCAGTGAATGTTGAATTGGCTAAATTTTCTCGCTTTAGGAGAAACAAAGTCTCAATATTGAGACTAATTTTAATTACTTTTTAAAAGAATTTTTTTGCACATTTGAGTTTTATGACCTGATACAGCATAGCCAGTATATTTGTATGACATTGGTTGACCAAATAAATGTACGAATGAATGAAGGATTTGTTTCCTCCCTTCTATATTACATGATAGTGCCTGACAATTGTACTTCACAGAAATGATGTCCTTTTAGTGTAATTATTATGTGAGAGGTGTCAGGGGGAAACTTCATATTAAAACAAGGATAATTATTTTTCATTATGCTAGATCTCATCTACATTTTGTATTAATTGGTTTACTGAGAAGATGTTTCTAACACACTTACTTTTCGTGGCATGTGTTCAATTGTTGCAGAATCTAAGCCAGAAATGTTCATGCTGTCCCCACAATGGGGAGATGTACCTTCCCCATGTGCTAACATGTCGGGCTGTATCCCCTCGTATATGGAAATCGTATCATCCTTTAAGACTCCACATGCTTTTGCTCTCTTACCCAGGTCATGATGCATCACGTCTTCCAGACTTACTTCTTTGTTTAAATCTGTCAGAGAAAGCCTCTAGAATTCTTTGTCACTCTCCTCTGCTTTTCAGCGTAATCCTTTCTTTACATTCAAAGCAATGCAATACAACAAAAATCTCAAAGCAAGAAAAATAACTTTGCAGGCATTTTAATAACATTTTAACATTTTTTTTACCAAAAAATAAAATATAGAGAAATAGTGGAAAGATGCCAAGAGCTATGGCACAGTTTTTTTCACTTTCCCAAATTCCCCTCATTAAATAAATGGATCAAGTGGGTACTACCATAACAAAATATTCCCCCAAAACCCAAAATATAAATGTGGGAGAGAAACCACCAACAGTTACGAGACTTGTATGTTGGCAGCAGAATAAAGCAGAGAGAAATAACAGGGCAATGGACAGACCTGAGTGACCACAGGGCACTCTGCCCTCCATATCCAGGGGCTTCTGTACCCAGGGCCTCAAGCAACTAGGATCAAAAATATTCAAAAATGGGTAGCACCTGTGGCTCAGTGAGTAGGGTACCGGCCCCATAAACGGAGGGTGGTGGGTTCGAACCTAGCCCCAGCAAACTGTAACAAAAAAAATACCCAGGTGTTATGGTGGCTGTAGTCCCAGCTACTCAGGGAGGCTGAAGCAAGAGAATCGCCTAAGTCCAAGAGCTGGAGGTTGCTGTGAGCTATGACACCCCGGCACTCTACCAAAGGCAACAGAGTGAGACTCAGTCTCTAAAAAAATAATAATAATTAAAAAAATAAAAATATCTGATAGAAATAATGTTACAATAATAATACTAAAAGTAAAAATAATACAATGTAACAACTATTTATAGATCATTGTATTATGTATTATAAGCAATCTAGAGATGATTTAAAATGTAGAGGAAGATGTGCTTACGTTATGTGCAAATATCGTACTATTTTATTTGAAGGGCTTAAGCATCCTTGAATTTGGGGCAGGGGTGTGTGTGTCTTGAAACGAAACCTCCTGGGATACGAAGGGAAGGCTGTGGCTGATGGGACTCCCCAGGAAGCTGGGAGGGCCACGCTGAAAATAGCAGCTGAAACCCAGGAGATTTGCACATCCCAAGAACGGATTCATGCAGTAGCTAAGGGGTGAGTTCTGAAGAGTCTGCAGCAGTTGGGGGCCCATAAGCTCTCAGAACTAACTAATCCAAACTCCCTTCCCATACTGAAGAGAAAATTC